AGGCGGTTGTGTGTTCTGATGGCCTCTTCTGTATGGGTCGACAAGTCTTCCCTACATAGACACTGCCACATGAACACAAAACCTTATAACAACCATGATCGAGTAAAGCGTTGTTGCTTCTTTTTACATTGTCTTGACGCTCCATTTCTTCAGAAATTCGTCTATCTTTCTTGAAAGCTTGCGGGATGGTAATATTAGGAGTCCAAGATCTCTTCATAGCTCTGAAATGGATTGCAGTTTTGATTTTGCTTGAATTCGTTTCACCAACACTCCAAACAGGATTCGAAGCAAATTTGCATTTGGCATTGCAAACTAAAAAAGTTTACTTTAAGAAATGAAGACCAAGATGGCGTACTCCTCGATATAGGGGCAGTCTCCTTTCGATTTATGGAAATGGGTTGACCTCGTAGTTGCAACTTGGTCTTGTTGTCAAGTCCGAAGTCGGCTGTCATAGAAGTTGTCATGATTCCCAGCATCAGACCGTGGAATTGGTACATTCTCAAACGTTTCGCCGGTATAGTAGTCGGCATAATCAGTCCGTTTTGCCATTCTCCTCACCAACCTACGAACTCGTCAGGAGACTTGTCTCTTGGTATACCAAAAAAAGAGACTTGTCTCTTTGACGAGTTCGTAGGTTGGTGCGGAGAATGGCAAAACGGACTGATGAGGCCGACTACGATGCCGGCGAAACGTTTGAGAATGTACCAAGACAACTTCGGACAAGGTACGTTCTACCAAGTCGCCCTGGCAACAAGACCAAGTTGCAACGAGGTCAACCCATTTCTATAAATGGAAAGGAGACTGTGACCATACCAGATGCTACAACATCTTGGTCTTCATATCTTAAATCAAACTTATATTTGCTTAACGTCTTGAGTTTACACGCCGCACTGAGGCTGTTGATAAGCGCGAGGCGAGGTCGAACTTTTAGCGAAGCCAGGCTGTATGAAATGCATTGTATGAGAAATCAACTGCTTCATCACCTTACACGAAATAGGGTCATCCTACTTCATGGATATGATTTACTGGAAAGCTCGAAAACCTAGTCAAAATTAAGACTATTGTTTGAGATCTGGTGATAGTCTCGACGCACACGCACACAATTGAATGTATGCATATACTATATGCATATATTATTATTTAATATACACTATAGTTGAATACAATAAAATAATAAATCTTCACCAAGTGCAAGAAATGTCTTCATGAGGCCAGAAATATACAGCGACCTACCGGACGAGGTTGGCAGCAGAAATTCCGCGCCCGAGTGCAGAGGCGGAAAGGCCCCATGGCCGGGATGCTGCTGCTGTTGCTGTTGCTGCTGTTGTTGATGATGATAGTGGAGTTGAAGAGGAGGCTGAAAGAGCGACGGAAGTTGGTGGGACTGTGCAAATTGTTGTTGATTGGCGTTTGCCAAGGCAACTGCGGCTGCCGCGGCCGCAGTGAAGAGCGGATTGACGACGGTCGGGCCGGCGCTGGTCGTGGGCAGGGACGAGGCGGTGCGGTTGGCGCCGGACGCCAACATGAGGCCGGGATTG